CGCCGCTCATCTCGACCGGCTGGGTCTCGCGTCCCCTCTTCTGCATCATGTCTACCCCTTCAACGGCTACCGCGACACACCCTTCGCACCATCAGCAACACTACGCATACCCCCATCATCAACCTTACCAGCCAACCCCATCCTACCCGACCACGTCCGCTGCAGGCACTGCTCGCCTCGTCACCTCCGCCTATCCCTATACTGTCAACCCCCCGACTACCTCTCTCCCTTTCGTTCAATCTCCTAAGACAATACCCACGGCTCCCACGCCCTCTATCGCCTCCACAGCAGCAACCGCTATGCCGCCTGCGCAGAACCCCATGAATGCTGTATCAGCCGCTCAAAATGGTCGGAGGAGGAAGCCTAACTGGGGCGAATTCTACAAGAACGGCATACCCAAGGAAGTCATCGTGATCGATGACACGCCGCCTCCAGAGCAGTCCCAGGCCGCTTCGCGCAATCCGGCGACGGCTTACATCAACGCACCCAATGGTGCGGCGCCCCAACCGGCCAGCAAGAAGCGGCGCACCGGCCCCGACACGACTTACGATCTTGCAACCTATGATCGACCCTCTTTCTCGATCAACCCCCAACAGTATGGCGAAGAGTCCTCGGCTGAGTCTCTCTCCACCGACCGAACAACATCTCTACATACTACCGCGCCCACCTCCCTGTCTCAGGGAAGTACGGGGGCTAGCAACGGGTTATATTACGAAGACGCCAACACAGGCCAAAAACGCAAGCGAGTGACCACCCGGAAGTCCGCTCGTGATGAGCAGAAAAAGAAGGAGTTGGAGGCCGCTGGTGATGCGTTCCTGTGTTACGTCCCGCCTCCGAAGCCCATCATCAAGGCGAAGGATGTGCCGGTTCCGGTGATTCGCGATGTGAGTATCGTGACTGAATTCCCTGCACAGAATAGTAGCGCTAATGGGACTCGTAGTATGGAAACAGAGGCGAGAAGTATGATGACGACGACGGCCATTACATTGTAACGCCAAATGTTCCATTGACCGATCGATGTAAGTAATCGATGTCTACGGAAGGAAGGACGCCCAAACTGACACCTTCAGACTCGATCGTCAAACTACTGGGACAAGGTACATTCGGGAAGGTGGTCGAGGCGTACGACAAGACCCGCAAGACCCGCTGTGCGGTCAAGATCATTCGCTCCATTCAGAAATATCGCGATGCCTCGCGGATCGAGCTGCGAGTCTTGTCCACCTTGGCCTCGAATGATAAAGCCAATCGGAACAAGTGCATTCATCTACGGGATTGCTTCGATTTCCGCAACCACATCTGCATTGTGACAGATCTGCTGGGACAGAGTGTTTTTGATTTTCTCAAGGGAAATGCCTTCGTGCCGTTTCCCAGCAGTCAGATTCAAAACTTTGCCCGGCAACTGTTCACCAGTGTTGCTTGTGAGTTTTCTTGGTTGTTTATTCTCTGCAGATGCTGACTGTGCAGTTCTCCATGACCTCAACCTCATCCACACCGATCTCAAACCCGAGAACATCCTGCTTGTTAGCAGTGCATACCAGACCTTCACATATAACCGTACCATTCCCTCATCCTCCTGCGCGATTTCACGGAGCGCCCGGCAGAGACGTGTCTTGCTAGATAGCGAGATCCGGTTGATCGACTTCGGGTCGGCCACCTTCGATGATGAGTACCACTCGTCGGTGGTCTCCACTCGACACTACCGGGCTCCCGAGATTATCTTGAACCTGGGCTGGAGTTTCCCCTGCGATATTTGGAGTATCGGGTGTATCCTGGTGGAGTTCTTCACGGGAGATGCTCTGTTCCAAACTCATGACAATCTCGAACATCTGGCCATGATGGAGGCCGTCATCGGGGAGCGAATCGACACGCGGCTTGTCCGGCAAGTGATGCAGGGTGGTCGGAGTGGAAGCCAAAACCAGGCTGCAAAGTATGTTTTTCGTCTTCGTTCTTTTAGATTGTACTAACCTGAAAAGGTACTTCTGCCGCCTACGCCTTGAATATCCTAATGACCAGACGACACGGGCTTCACGAAAGTACGTCCGGGCGATGAAACAGCTCATTGTAAGTTAATAGTAGACCGCCAGCCTCCGGAAGCCACCACTAACGAGTCACAGGAGTTTATACCAAGCAATACCAAGTTCCATCGACTGTTCCTGGATTTGTTGCAAAAGATCTTTGTGTATGATCCGAAGAACCGGATAACCGCCAAGGAAGCCTTGAAGCACCCCTGGTTCAAAGAGTCGTTGGTGGATGACGGTACAGAGGCTCTCCGCATCGGAGAACAATTACAACGTACCGGCCAACGTCGCCAGTGAGACTTCTAGTGCAAGGGAACACTGCATGACAAACTACATGGCATAAGAGCCGGTGGCTGCGGTCTTCGAGCTCTTGTGTCGGGTATAGCTGCCTTTATGATAGATGGACTGTTACTTTGTTTTGGATAATACTTAGCAGGGCTGTACGGGTTGCCCGCTTGACGATGACCAGGTATATGCAATAGGGAGAGGTTTCACGGAGTCTGGTGTTTATGTTTGTGTCACAAAGCTCCATTCTATCGGACGGTGAATTATTCCCTGGTCGGTTGCAGGCCCTGACGGAGGAAAATATTCTTTGTGGCCGCAACGAAAGGATACGATGTGGTTGATTCTGTCTCTATCGGCTTGCTCTTAGCCATCTTATCTCTTATCTATTACTGATATATTCGATACGCCTGCATTGTGTTCTGGGCGTGGGTTGAGTTATCCTGGGGGGAAGGGCTTGATTGTGGTAGTATCTATGATACGTGCGATACTGGTACCTGCCTGCGCTTGCCTATGCATTATTGTCATTACTCATACCATACTACGATGTATATACCCCGAGTTGTCACTGATACAACTGATTGAGATGCATGATGCTTACGCAATGGTTTAGAACCAAATTCGATGACGAGGCGATAGAAGCTCACTGCTAGACTACAACGAAAAGACAGCTAGCTGTCTTGCTGCCACGAAGTGACGAAGCCATGCATGACTAACAACTTCTTTCAGACTCACGATCTATATATACACATGTCTGCCCTCATCTAGAATCCGAACACGGTTCCAACCCCCCCGCCCCCCCGCAATAGATACTCCCAAAGAACTCCCGAAATCTATCACTTATACTTCACAAAAACATCACACCGCGTCCCATCCCCCTCGACAAACTCCTCAACGGGGCCCGCGAACCCCGTCTTCCGCAGCACCCGCTGACTCGCCGCATTGTCGTGATTCGTGATCGCCCACAACCCCGCCTCCACATTCCCGGTGGCCTCCGCGCCATACGCCTCCGTCATCCGGGCCTGCAGCTCCCCGAAGAACTTCTGGCTGAGGTGCTGCACCGCCTCCGTCGCGTACCCCCTGCCCCACACATCCGGGTGGAAGATGTACCCCAGTTCCCAGCGGTCTTTGCGTGGGGGGTGCTGGTCCGCCGCACCGCCCGACGACGACGACGTTAATCCAGGATCATCCCGCTGGGTCGGGGCGGGCTCCATCCGCACGCCCATGTTGCCGATGACGGGACCTGCTGCTGCTGCTGCTGCTGCTGGAGTGCCAGTCCCGTTGGGAATGGGAGTGGAAGTTTTAGGAGGCGTTGGTAACAATTCCCGAACAACGTAGCACGTCCGGGGCGGGTGGTTCTCCCCCGAGATGTAATTCGTTAGCCACGTGCGGGTTTCTTCGAGGTTCTGGTCGGGGAGTTTGCGCAGGCTGGTGTCGTATTAGTGTCGTAATTTTCTCGGGTTTTTCGTGCACGGAGTGGAGAATTTACGGGGGTCTTGCTCACCTCCATCTCATGACCTCGGGCTTGTTGCGGATCTGATACATGGCTTCGAGATCGTCGGGCGTCATGGCCTCGAAGAGGAGGCGCGGAGTGGTGAAGGTTGGTGGGGGGTACATCTTTTGTCGGGGGGTTCTTGGATCTAGAGGTAGAGATACCAAAGGGGAAGGTGTCTAGTATACGAATATGATTAAGTGGTTGATTGTTGGGTTTCAAGTTGGGATCCAGGGTCCATTGATCTTATTTATGGGTTGAGGGTGGGTTTTTCTATCCTCGAGATTGAGGGTCTCGTGTTGCGCGCACGGGTGCGTGAGTCATATTGCTTGATGTAATTAATTCTGCTTGGATTGCCCCGTTGTGACTTGGTTTTTTGAGGCAATTGGTGATTGGTGTGAGACATTGTATTCTTAGTGAGGTTGATGATAAGAGGTATGGAGGTATGGAGGTATGGAGGTATGTCTTACTTTGGTGGTTGGAGTGGTGCTACTGCCAGTGCTACATGTGTACTGTAAAGGGGTCCACGGTCCACGGTGTGTATTGCGGGTGCCTGTTGTATATACTGGGGACATATATTATTCGTCGAATCGGCACTGCGGTCTCTGTACTATTGAGCAATTTATCAATGCTACCATATTACCACTAGAATATAGGACTACCTAGGTGTGGGGTGTACAACATGGGGCAAGTCACGGCTGAAATTATTCATGTATGGAATGGAGAATGCCACCTCAATTCAATGGCAGCATCTCCTATTGTCTTGTCGTGTTAACATGTCTATCCTTTCTTATTCACAGTCATCCTTTGATCAGGTTATTGCTTACCTACTTGTATCCTCTTCTTCATCTCTCCGTTCTTCTTCGAAATTCCTCCCTCTGTCTCTCTCTCTCCTTCCTGTCTCTCTCCCATTGGCCAGACTCAAAGCTCCCTCTTCATCTTCAACCAGGTTCAACATTATCCTTACAACTATCCTACCCAGCTTCAGCTACCCCCAACCCAACCTTGAATATATGGCTTATCATCTCTACTCCTCACGCATGCTAGCCCTGACCACAGACTCGACTTCTCCGACACAAAAGGTCTCGCGTACCTTGCGGCGGGCCAGCCTACAAAAGGCACTCGCCCAATTTGTATCTCAGCCATACAACCTATCATCTCGTCAAGTATAGTTCCCAAGGAGGAATAAACAACCCTCACCTCACATTCGATGGCCAAAGTCTACAATCACCACTGCAACATCATCATCCGCAGCGCCACCGAAGTCTGCAAGAAATCGCAGGAATTGCAGGGACATCAATCAACGTGCCGTTGTCTACACTGTAGCACGTGATCGACTCACTGAAGCCAGGCATGTTGCAGAGATAAGGCTGAAGGTGTTCACCACGAAGCCTCCTATATAAGCTTTCCCCAGCCTCCACCGCCAAAGATGGAGACTCATTTGTGGAAGAACGCAGCAGAGGCAGCGAAATACGATGCCTACTACTGAGGCCCGGCTGGCATCTGCTTGCGTTTACTCCGTGTGGTCTCGGATCTCGGCTTGATTGAGTTGATCGCTGGTCCTGGAAGACTGCAGCGCCAGCTACAAACCGGGGCGAGGAATTTCCCCAGTTTATGCACAACGGCCATGGATATACCACTGTAAGTCCTCCACCAGCCCGTGTTCTCCCTCTCTGCCATTGATAAGGGCTCCTGACGCCACAATTTGTTCGAAGACCAGAATATGCAGCGCAGCATCCGCAGCCCGGGGATCTCATTTTGCTTGATCTATACCCCAAACGCTACAGACAGTGCAGGGTTGAGTGTGCTCTGGTAGTTGCTTTTTGCCTCCCTCACTGCCTCTTGCGCCGCCTGGCCGAGTGCTGACCCTCGTTCTCTAGTGCCCATGTTCGCTACCGATTGTTGATCGCAAGGTGGATGCCAGTCCTCCTAAATAAGATTGATCAGGGTTCGAGAGAGCCACCTGCGGTAAGATGCTCAGCTTCGCTCGACGAGAATCCTGACTCAGTTCTCAGGCCTGAAGGATGCAACTTGGGATGAACGGTGGAGCTAGCTTGATATTTACTTACTTTCTTTCTGGCCCCCAAAGATTGCGATATCTAGTTCTAGACAAGACAGGCAGACCGACATAAAGAACAAGCCATACAAGCCTTCATAAGTAGTCATTCTAACCCCAACCAACCAAGAGAACCCACCAAGCCCCATCATATGTACTGCTAATGCAAACGTCTATAAAACTGCACATGCTGACTCTCAAACCCCAACATCCCCAGCTCCTCCAACCGCCCCAAGAACTCCCCCCACCAATCCACCGCATGCGTCTCGCGGATCGACTTGTAGCTCTTCTCCCCGGCCCGCCCATTCCACCGCAGAAAGTAAACCAGACACTGCGCCCCGCGATGGCCCCGGAAGTCCACAGCAGGAGGGTAGACCAACCACCCCCGCGTCCAGTCAACCAACTGGTAGACCGGGTGCGGCTCGATCTCCACACCCGGCTGGCCGGGGAACCAGCCGCGCAGCAGGAACGGCCGATCGCAGTGCGTGATTCCCCTCCTCTGCTGCTCGGACAGGTGGCGGGGGAAGTAGACCAACAGGAGTTCGAAGTGGTCGACGGGGCCCCGGGTGTCGAGGTGGAAGGCGTACTGGCGCGTGGTGGCCGAGAAGTCCACCAGGGCGAGGTGCACGGATCTACCCTGTGTCAACCGTCCGAGGAGATCCATCAAAGAGGTGTAGTTGTCCGAGTCGATGAATTTGGCCCGGGTGGAAGCGTGGCTCCATTCTGAGGGGGTCTCATTAGCATGCCCTCCCCAGAAAAAGGACAGTGGACGGGGCAGGATCGAACGAACCGATCATGAGATATTCGGTGTTCGGGGCTTCGAGGGAGCGGGAGCGCTGGAGTCGGAGGGCGACGGAGCTGTGTCCCCGTAGCTGGTCGAAGAATTCGTCGATCGCATCGGTCTGCTTGGCGTGGTCCCAGATGAGGGCCGGAGTTACGCATATCCAGTCGAGGAGGCCGGGGTTGCCGGTTCGAGTGGGTTCGCTCAGGCGCAGCGGCGCAGACGTGGTTGACTGGCGAGCGGATGGCTCCTGGAGGAAGGTGGGAAGATTGCGGCGCGTGGAGCGAGTGACTGGCGGCATTGTCAAGGTGACCTGTACTGAATAGTAGGTTGGACAGGAATAGGGGGTCAGATGCAGTGGAACAACAAGTTCAATCACTGCTCCGTTATTTTAGTCTAATACCGCCAAAACTAAGACTAATCAATGCTAGAAGAGACAAAATACCCTCGGGAAACACCTAGATATTATATTATATAACTAGGACCGTATATTGGTTCTTATACTTGGTATAACTTGCTTGGATTTCGAAGTAGTTACTATACGGCAGGGTACGTATATATGTAGTGTAAGATCCTAGTAGGTTTTGGGAAAATCTAAGTCTAAATATGTATAAGCTACAATGAAACAGTTGACCTTCATAGCAGTGAGACCCTACTGTGCTCTTCCTGCGATCGACTCGTGCAGAAAGTTGTTCATTATCATTGAGTGTATTTCTTGGTGTTTAGCGTTGGCTACATACAGAATACAAGGTATCACGTGGCCCTTTGCCGGACGATTAAGAACATAATAGGGGGTAACCCTCATCACTGCGGTGATGTAAACACAGAGGCGCCCGGAAAGAGATGATATGTTTCAGAAAAGGAAAAGGGGTATGTCTAAATCCAGGACAAGATGACAAAGGAGACCCAGAATAGTGGGGACTCTCTGCTCCTTGAGTAGAGAGGGATATGGGTATGGGTTATGATAGCATGAGATAAAGGGTATTGAAGGTAAATGGATGTCGAGGAGTAAAGAAGGCAAGTCGTGCCAGCGTGTTCGAGTTCATGGCATTTCAACGGAACCGGTAGGACTTATGGGCCAAGGGTGAGGGGGGACCATGGCCATGACCGACTCCGCCAACAGGAACTCGAACACGATTATTCTTCCGAGTGGGAGTCTGTGCAGCGCAGAAGACGCAGACATAAACAGAGGGGAGATTGGCCCGTTCAAGACCAACACACTTGGTATGCAACCAGTGACTGCATGATTCACTGTCCCTAAGTCAGGATAGGAAAGGACTGCTATGGCGTTCAGGACTACTTACCATTGGATCATCAGGTGACCACCGTTGTCCATGGAATTGCAAACACACCTGGTTCCCCGGCTTGGGTTACTAAACCGATCGGTGATCGGTGTTGCAATGTCAGGGTCCGTCATCGTTGTAGGAGACGTGTTCATCGTCCGCGTCGCGAGATCCAGTTCGGCGCCAAATCGCGGCGGTGACGACCGAAGGTGAGCCAGAGAACGATTGGCACGACCTATCCGCGAGCTGTAGCTGACAGTGTGAGGCCGAAGCGGGCGTCCACGCTCTTGCAACACCTTCCGGAGGGCATGCTGGGCATCGCCACTGTCCTCATCCACATCATCGAAGGGCTCCCCCAGCAATCCGGCACTCAGATAGGACAGATCTGAATGAGGCATGCCAGTCTGTCTTTTCGGGGTCCGTTTCCAGTCATCCAGAGTAGGTTTGTACTGGGGCCGGCGGGAAAGTCCGCGAGAAGATCCATTCCATGGGGACATCCGCCCCGACTGGGACGATGCTGCCGTCGAGGTGTAGGAGCCCTTTGAGTGAGGCCGTGAACCCGAGTCACTACGGCCCGTCACTGACCTTCCAGCATCTGAGAAGGCGAGTGAGGGGTTGCGACTAGGGATGATGGGGTATTCAGAGTAATCGACCGAGTCATACTCGCTCTCTGTTGTGGAGCCCTCCAGGTCCATGGCGGTGATAGGATCTGTCAACCCAGTCGCTGCCTCTTGCACGGGCTGCATTTCGGTCTTGGCTCGACCGTCGCGTCCGATCCGGAGAACTACTGACTGAGAACGTGTAGGTACGCTGGCCGCAGACGTTGAGCGGGGCATCGACTGCCGCATAGACTTAACAGGCGACAGGCGGCCCTTCGATGGGCTTTTGCGAATGCCATTTGTCAAAGACATCGTGCTCCCAGCACCGGGGCGAGAAGACGTGATAGCCGTATGAGTAACACTACGGGTCAGCGTCGGCCGGGCCTGTCGAGGAGTGTAGTCATCGTCCTCTTCGAGATCGAACGCGGCGAGTGGATGGTGCACACTCTGTGCCCGACGGAGTTCTTCCCGCTTCGACTCCTCGGTCTGATGATGGTAGGGCTGTCTGGTAGGCCGACCAAAGAGTCTCTTCTCAGGAGTCGGCTGGGGTCCCCCAAAACGACGTGCTGGAGAGCTGAGAAACATGGCTGGATCCTCAGCCTTCGTGATCGGTAGACGAGGAGAAGTAGAGAATGGGGCAGGGAACAGTGCGGCGTCGGTCGTGGTGGTTGACGAGAAGTTATAGCCGTGGGTATTGAACTCTGGAAGTTCCATACTACCCTCGATGGTGGGCAACTGAGGGATATGGGCATCCTGCAGAGGTGGAGGGTTGAGCTGGAAGGGGCCACTGGTTTGCGGAGCGAATAGATCGACACCGCTGGTCGAAAGACCCATTCCTACCCCATGATTTCCCAAGTCATGATCCCAGAAAAGTCTCTGCTGCGGAAATAGAGGGGATGCGGAGGGATTCATCGATCCCAGTTGGAACGGATCTGGGGAGGAGGTGAAATTGAACAACTGAGGCGAGGCACCCATTATCCGGCTAGGAGTCTCCAGATGACCGCCCGCCGCACTGGAAGCGGAGGTACGTCGCCCAGTGCCCTTGCCCTCGCCATACTCAGTCATCTTCTTTCGAGAAGCGCTGCTTGGCGGGGGTGTCTGTATGGTGGCGGCAGACTTGGCTGAGTCTACCGTCCGCGGACCGTCCTCCCCGATAAACCCATTGGCTTTGGACGGCCGGCGTCGTTTCGCTGTATCTGTGTCCTGCTCCGCCGCTTTGGCGCTCCTCAAGTTGGGGTCTGCATCTAACGGTCGGTCGGGCCCAGTGTCTGGCAATCGGAGAGGATTGATCGAAGGGGTGCTTATACCGAACTTCTGGGGTGTCCGGAGAAATTCCGGACTGGAGGCATAGGGATCGGAGGTGTCCCAAGTGACTCGGGGATCGAAGAAGCTGGACTCGAGTTTAGGGGTTTGAAAGGCCGAATCACCGAAGATTGTGGTCGTCGGAGGAGTCCTCGTTGGGGTCTGAGGTTCACCGTTTGGATAGCTGAAGCTGAACGTAAAGGACGGCTCCGTCAGTATCATTGTGCACATGAGCGGCTACTTCGGGGGGGAGTTGCGGAGTTTCGACAGAAAGCTCCGCGGAACCAGCCTAAGGCCGGCCAGAGAGGACAAATTGTATATATGGGCCAACTATATACACATAGAAAGCTGGGGGGGGCTGCAGAATTGAAGCACACAAGCACGCAAGCACAAGTATTGAATAAGTGGCTTTCAAGTGAGGTGGAGTGGAATAAAGAAGACAAAGCAACCCCGCTTGTGCCAGCCCGTGGTGCCGTATGTGTAGGTAGGGGAGAGAGAGAGAATTGAATGAGCCAAATCCCACATACCTGTGAACGGGGTGATCCCAACTCATGTCAGCAACTTTGTGATCCCAGCAACCATTCAATTGCAAAGCTGCCAGGCAACCCTCTCGTAGATTTTTTCGAGATTTTTGCGAGTCGTCAGGAATGTTCGGGGAGAGGGGTTTCGGTAGGGATCGAAGTTGCCGACGAATGTGAAGTTGCCCGGGGTCATAGAACTCGAGCTTTGCGTTGGGACCCCTCGAAGGACTGAGCGGACGGGAAAGGAGGATTTGACGGTCTAGCACATAGTAGTCGAATCGGGAGGAGAGGCAGGGAAATGAATCCCGGAAGTAGTTCTAGGGAGGAGAAAGAGGGAGAGGAGAGAGGAGGGGGTGGACAAAGGAGGATCGTAATGAGAGGAAGGGGAGGAGGGAAGGAGGGAGGGAAGGGCAGGAAGTGGTGGTGGTAGTGGTGGTGGTAGGTTAAGTGGTTGTGAGAGGGGGAAGTAATTTAGTAGTAGTAAGAGTAAGAGTGAGAGTAAGAGTAAGAGTAAGAAGAGAAAGGTTCCAAGAATGATAGAATAGAGCTTCTGCTGAACAAAAGGTGCTCCAACGGAATGTGTGTTTCGTTTCCTTCAATTTGTCTCTTCTCTGGTCCTTGGTTCTTGAGGGAGGAGGTTCGGTTCGTCAGTCGGTAGGTACCTGTAGTAGTAGTCCCTGCACCGGAGGCAATAGTAGTTGTTGTAGCAGCTGTGAACTGTAGTTAACTACCTAGTAGTAACTACTGTATGTTCGTTCCCAAGGAGACAGTCAAGGAGGGCAGTGGTTCAAATAGGAAGGATGTAATTGAATTGAGAAAGGGAAGCAATTGAATTTTGTGTTTTCGTTTTCCTCTGTTTGTAATTTGGTAATAATTTGACAGTTTTTTTTTTTTTTTCTTGCCCTCTTTTTTTTTTCTTTTTACATACATCCGCAGATCCACTGGGGAACCATTTTCAATGAAGAAAAAAAAAAAGACTACGGAAGGATGAACCCCAGGACCGGTTCTGCTGCCATTTCATTCTCGTTCGATTGGGTCTCTACTATATGACACTTGAGCCTTTGAGCTGCTAGTCTTCCAGTCATCTTTCTCTATAGTACTTGCATCATCATCATCATCATCATCATCATCATCATCATCAATCGAGGGTCTTCCAACCAGCATGCTCCTTCCCGATCTTCCTCCACCCTCTAAGCGGTAGTGGTAGAGATTCGGCATCTTGATGGAAATATTATCTCTCGGCCGGCTCACTCGGGCAAGCTTGTGATTATACTATGCCATGAGGACAAGGAAGAGTGCAAGATATTGCAAGACTCGGCATCATAGACTGCTGAATAGACTCCGTTCGCAGTGCAAAGAGCAGAAGAACCAGTCGTGATATGTATCGGGCTCCATTAGCGATCGAGGTTCCGCGGGTTCATGTACGGATTTCCGGGGCTGGCCCTGAACGATCAATGCACCCACCCCCAGCTAGAACAATATCCGCCTCATTCATTCCCCAGACCGGCAACCTAGCAATAAAGAAGTAAAGAAAGAAGAATTCAAGAAGCTCATGGCCTCCCACAGATTACACGGACGAAGCTACAGCTCTAAGGGGTTCAAA